TGTGAAAGAGCATGTCCAGGCTGACCTGGTTGGCGTGAAGGAGGAGATTGCAGACCTCAAGAGTGAGGACACTCTCATGAAGAGAGCCATGGCTAGCGGACCAGCCCCGGTGCAATCCGTTCCACGTGCTGATGTTCCAAGACTGAAGAACTTCTAAGGTTCAAGGAACGCGAGGGAGTTAGAGAACTTCCTTTGGAGTCTTGAGCAGTACTTCAAGGCATCCAGCATCCAAGAGGATGAGGTAAAAATTTGTACCGCTCCACTTTACTTGTTCAATGTTGTCATGGTGTGGTGGAGGAGACGTGAAGCAGACGTCGAAAGAGGTACGTGTGTGATGGTAACGTGGGATGATTTCAAGAGAGAAATCAAGAAGCAGTTCTACCCGGAGAACATGGAGTTTGAAGCTCGTTCAAAGTTGAGAAGACTCGCCTAGAGGGATGGAGTTCGAGAATATGTGAAAGAATTCTCGGAGCTTCTTCTAGAGATCCCGGACATCACGGACAAGGAGGCCATGCACGGCTTTCTTGATGGGCTGCAACCATGGGCCAAGATGGAGATGCAACGTCGAGGAGTGCAAGACCTTGCATCTGCCATGGCCACGGCAGAGTCTTTTGTTGAGTACAAAAGGCAAGAGAGCAGCGGCAAAGAGAAGAGTTCAAAGCCCAACAAGGGTGGAGAACAGCAGAATCCTTTCGAGGAGGGGAATCGCACTCAATAACACCAAGGTGGTTCAAACAAAGGGGGTAAGTACGAACCAAAACCAGTATCTTGTTTCCTTTGCGATAGACCAAATCGAGTGCGAGATTGCCCAAGGAAGGCGAGATTGGCGGCCATGGAAGCTCAAGATGAAGAGCCCAAGGCGGCGGAGGCCAAGATTGGCTCAATCCGCAAGCTTGGCGCGGTGAAGACCGACGTCAAGGAGAGCAAGCGCGGGAGGTGCTATGTTCTGGCTCAATTCATGCATGGTGAGTCAAAAGCCTTGGTGGATACCGGTGCCACGAACAACTTCCTCCGCATCGAGGAGGCAAACCGGCTGGGTATAGCCTACGAGAAAGGGCAAGGGAGACTCAAGACGATCAATTCGAAGTCCATCCCGATCCATGGAGTGGCTCATAATGTTCCAGTGAAGCTTGGAGAGTGGGAAGGCCTCATCGACTTTTCCGTCGTCACCATGGACGATCACCCGGTCATCCTCGGCATCAACTTCCTCGACAAGGAGGGAGTTCTCTTGAAGCCCAACTCCAACACGATGTGCTTGGAGAAGGAAGAGGAGTTCCATGCGGTCCATCTCTTGAGAGAAGATGGCCCCCATAGTGCTCTATCCGCTATGTAGGTACTGAAGGGGTGCAAGAAAAATGAACCAACCTTTCTTGTGTCCTTGAAGATGGAGGAAGAAGGAGTCTCAACGGGAATCACAACTCCCCTCATCGAAGGTGTCCTCGAAGAGTTCGATGACGTGATGACAACGGAGTTGCCCAAGAAGCTGCCACCAAGAAGAGAGGTGGATCACAAGATCGAGTTGGATCCAGGAGCGAAGCCCCCTTCGCGAGCACCATACCGCATGGCGTCACCGGAGTTAGAAGAGTTGCGGAGGCAGCTCAAGGACTTGGTGGACGCAGGCTATATGTGGCCATCGAAATCACCTTTTGGAGCACCGGTGTTGTTCCAAAAGAAGAAGGAAGGGTCGTTGCGTATGTGCATCGACTATAGAGCCATCAACAAGTTGACGGGGTTATTTATTCTATTAGTATGTTATTTCTGCAAATATTAATGAATTATTTAAATATTATTAGTTTTAATTATATTTATTAATTATATATTAATATTCTGAAAAAAGGCAGGGCTAGTTTTCAATCCTGCCTCCGCCACTAAATGGGGAGTCAGTGACTTCTTTGCTCTTATACCTGGAAAATATGGTAGGAGAGAAACGTGTTTGAACAAGTGGCTGATTCCCAACATTGCCGACTTGTTCAACCAGCTTGGAGATGAGATGTGGTTCACCAAGCTAGATCTTCGCTCGGGCTACTATCAAGTGTGGATAGCAGAGGGCGACGAGCCAAAGACGGCTTGTGTGACGAGGTATGGCTCTTACGAGTTTCTTGTGATGCCATTCGGTCTACCAACCCACCAGCCACATTTTTCACTTTGATGAATCAAGTGTTCGAGTCATTCTTGGACCGGTTTGTCGTGGTCTACTTGGATGACATCGTGGTGTAGAGCAAAACACTCGATGAGCATGCCGAGCATCTACACCAAGTCTTCCAAGTCCTTCGCGACAACGAGCTGTATGTCAAGAGGGAGAAGTGCACATTTGCCGCCACGGAGGTTCCATCCTTGGGGCACATCATTGGTGGAGGCAAGTTGAAGATGGATGGGGCGAAGATGCTGGCAATCCAAGAATGGGAGCCACCGACGAAGGTGCCAGAGTTGCGGTCATTTCTCGGCCTTGCCAACTACTATCGGAGGTTTATCAAGGGATACTCCAACATTGCAGCACCCTCGACGAAGAACAAGGCGTGGGATTGGTCGGAAAGGTGCCAAGAAGCATTCGAGGCCTTGAAGGCAGCGGTGATGAAGGAGCCCATGCTCGTGCTCCCCAACCCGATGTTGGCCTACGAAGTGCAAACTGATGCATCCGACTTCGCGATTGGAGGTGTGTTGGTGCAAGATAGGCATCCCATTGCCTTCGAGAGTCGGAAGCTCAGCGAGACAGAGAGGCGATACATCGTCCAAGAGAAGGAGATGACGGTCATGGTGCATTGCTTGTGCACATGGAGGCACTACTTGTTGGGGTCAAAGTTCTTAGTGAAGACGGACAATGTGGCGACGAGCTACTTCCTCACGCAGAAGAAGCTCACCCCTAAGCAAGTGAGGTGGCAAGACTTTTTGGCTGAGTTCGATTTCATCATGGAGTACAATCCAGGCAAGGCGAATTCCATCGCAGATGCTCTTAGCCGCAAGCATCAGCCAGCCCAATGTTTCCGTGGATCGTCGAAGGCCTTTGCCATGACCCCTTCGCCAAAACCGTAGCGGAGTACATCGAGCAAGGTAAGACTCAACTGTTTTGGATGAAGGATGGGCTCATTATGACCAAGGGAGAGCGTGTGTTCGTGCCAAGGTGGGCCAACTTGAGGAAGGAGATCATGAAAGAGTGCCATGATTCCAAGTGGGCGGACCATCCCGGCATCGAGAGAACGCAAGCGCTCATCTAAGAAGCATACTTTTGGCCGCGTATGAGAGACGACGTGGAGATGTATGTGAAGACTTGTCTTGTGTGCCAGCAAGACAAGATGGAGCAGAGAAGCCCGGCAGGTTTGCTAGAGCCCTTGCCCATGCCTCAACGACCATGGGAGAGTGTAAGCATGGACTTCATCATCGGACTTCCCAAAGTCGATGGATGCGGTCTCATCATGGTTGTGGTGGACAGGTTCTCGAAGTATGGAGTGGTCATTCCTAGGCCAAAAGACTTGACAGCAGAGGATGCGGCACGTCTATTCTTCAAGAACGTGGTCAAGTATTGGGGCATTCCTAGCAACATCGTGAGCGACAGAGATGGGCACTTCACGGGCCGATTTTGGCGAGAGTTGTTCAAGATCATGGGCTCAGACTTGAACTTCTCGACGGCGTTTCATCCTCAAAGAGACGGACAGACGGAGCGGGTGAATGCCTTGTTTGAGGTGTACTTGCGGCACTACGTGAGTGCAAACCAACGAGATTGGGTGAAGTTGATGGATACGGAACAGTTCTTCTACAACTTGCACCACAGCGAGTCGACCAACACGAGTCCATTTGAGTTGGCGACGGGGCAGCAACCTTTAACACCTACGACGGTGGCAATGGGTTATAGAGGCAACAGTCCGGCATCCTACAAGTTCGCTAAAGGCTGGCACGAGAAGATGGAGATGGTCAAGTCTTACTTAGCCCGCGCAAGTAAGAAGATGAAGAAATGGGCGGAAAAGAAAAGGCGGCACTTGGAGTTTGAAGAGGGAGACATGGTGATGGTAAAGTTCTACCCTCATCGCTTCAAGCATCTCAAGAACGTGCACAAGGGACTGCTTCACCGCTATGTAGGGTCATTCCCCATTGTGAAGAGGATTGGCAAGGTGGCGTACAAGGTGGAGGTGTCGTCACACTTAGAGATCCATCCGGTCTTTCATGTGAGCCAACTCAAGGCTTTCCACGAAGATAAGGAGGATGAGCAGCGAAGAGAGTCGCAGCGCGCACCAACACTCATCACCAAGACACACGACCATGAAGTCAAAGAGATCATGGCGCGTCGTGTCATTCCTCGTCGTGGCGTACATCCAAGCTCCGTGGAGTACTTGGTCAAGTGGCGCAACCTTCCGGAGAGTGAAGCAACTTGGGAGAAAGAGCTCAAGCTTTGGAAGAACAAGGACTTGATCGAGGTTTTCCATCAAGAGGACGCGACAAGGGCGTCGCGAGCATAGGTGGGGGAGGATGTCACATGTGGCAGATGACATGACACCAACAAGGTGACAACATGGCGGCTGCACATGTGGCGTGTATGGAAGACTAGTAGCATAGAGATGCTCCTAGGATTCTCCACCTTAATAGAGAGGTTAATGGTGCACTTATGAGTCACATAATGGGTGACATTTATAGAGTGCATAATGGGGGGACTTAATGGGTGTATTGATGTAGAGGGACATTATGAGGGGCATTGATGCCTTGTATTAGTAGAGGCCTATATAAGGAGCCATCTCCCTCACTTGTAACTCATTCCATCATTTTTTAGAGTAATACACACTAGAGAGTTCTCCCATTTCTTTTGTCTTTGCTTCCTTGTTCTTTGCTTGCTTGTGAGTTTGAGAGAAGGCTGCCTAGCGCTCTAACGGAATTGAGAGCTAGGGCCGCACGATCGAGAGTAAGATCGTGACAGAACCCAACCAAACTACTCTCCAGCAAACCAGACAATGAATGGAAAACTGCCACCGCATGGCTAACTTTTCTAAACTCAAACCCATTCCATAAGATTTAAATAATCGTCTATCACTTTATTCTTTCGAGTATTATTTAACAAAATAATTTGATGTTATCATGATATTAAACACTTACTAATATATAAAATAAGATACATAATTTGATGTTTCTAACTTAATATGGAGTAGTACACAAGGACGACATCAAAGCACAAAAACATGTAAATTATAAATTTTATTAAAAAGAGAAAACCAGAAGAACCATGCTCAAACTAAGGAGAAAATATAACTTTCACTTGCAGAGTGCAGCCAAAACTCGACGAGGTGGAGTGAAAAGGTTTCGAGCATGTAGCACTGCCAAATTATCTACCAACAAGACATCACCATTTTGCCAAGGGATAATAGCACTTTCCTCTACCATGATTTGCAAGCAATCATAAACAATGTCGCCAGGTAAAAGGTCACCGTTCCCAAACATAACGGACTTTGTCGGGTCGAATTTTTCGCTCCCGTTAATTGTATAAGACGTCACCATCGAATTAAACCAAATCTTGCGATCTCTCAACTTGTCGTGTTTAGTTGCTGGGGCTGGACCAACCGTTAATCGTGCTGAACCATCCTCAATCCACTCCAGCTTCATTCCCAGTTTTGCAGCCCTGTAATTGCGGTCATATAAGAAATGGTATCAGTTGAGGTCAAGAACAAAAACGTCAAAATGTCAAATGATATAGATAATCAAACACAGTCATCAGTGACAAGTCATCATCTGGCTCAATAACATAACCCAGTTTGTAAATCATTTCACAATTAAAAAAAGAAAAAAGCAAAACGGAGAAAACTAGCAATCCAGTTAAAGTGGAGAACTGGAGATTGACTTGTGAAGAAGTCAATTTATTTCCCTAACCCTGTTAATTAACCATGACCGTTCAGATCACAACTAACGTAACGGACGGGTCTGATTTGCAAATTATATGGATGACATATTAAAATAGGAACGGCGGTAGAGGATAACAAGAGAGACAAAGCATACCTTTGTTCGGCGACTTCTTTGTCATTGGTGGAAAACGTAGACTTCCAGCCTCGACCAATGGCGGAAGAAGTGTCGTCTTCTTCTCCGATCACTCTGCTGTACAGCAACCCTTCCTCTTCCAGCCGCGCTACGAATTCTGGGTGCTTCTCCTTCATCCTCTCGTACACCACGTGGCTCAACACAATTGGCGTCTCGCCGCCGCTTGCCGGCTCCACTTCACAGAAGAAGAACAGCTTCATCGGGAACTCCGGCGACTGAAAATTAATTCAATCCACAACCCAATATAAGAATCAAGGTCAGTAATCTGGATCACTTTAACTGAATTTAATTAATAATCTAATAATCAAATGGGTTTTCGGCTGACATAAGCCATCTCGTGGTGGTAGGGGATCCTCTGATCGGATGGGGACTCATTGGCTGTGTAGACCCGGCCGACGACGTGAGTCCGGCTGGCAGCTCCGCCAGTATAAGGCTGATCGGCGAACCCAAACGACTCCACCATGTTGTCGAAATCCGAAGCGGTGGAGAGAGGGAACCCCCTGAACAAGATCGCCCCTGTTTTGTGCAGCAGAGACTCCAGATACGGCTTCTGGGATTCGACGGCGGTGATGCAATCGGCCAGAGACGGCGGCGAGGACACTTCCGGGTTTGGCACGAGGACGGCCGGGAACGGCGGCAAATTTGGGGATCGCTTCTGGTTTGGGATCTCGATTTCCTGGAAAAAGTTGGCCATTTTTTCCTCCGCCCTCTGTTTTTTTTGTTTCTTGTGTGAGTTCGGGTGTGATGGTGTTCATTTTGCCTTTGGCCATCGTATATGTAGCTGTTTGTGTGAACGCAGAAGTTACTGGGAAGTAGTTTGTATGGATTTTTCTTTTGTACACTTTCCTTCAAACAAAAATTATGAGGTTTTTTTAGTTTGTACAAATTGAATATATCATCTATAATTCATTGTTTATATTAGAAAGCGTTATAAGAATTTAAAACTAGTATAACCTCATTGATAGAAAGCTATGATACAATGTTATTGAATAAGTCACTTAACCTCGCTTTGTTTCTCTTATTCCATTCGGTATAAGGCCGAACAAAAGTACATGTCCACACCACAAAGTGAAAGTAAAATATAAGTTTCACTATTTGCAGAGTGCAGCCAAAACCCGACGAGGTGGAGTGAACAACTTCCGGGCATGAAGAACTGCAGAGTTATCTATCAACAGGATATCCCCTTTCTGCCAAGGAATAGCAACGCTTTCCTCTTCCATGATCCGCAAACAACCATAGACCACATCTCCCGGCAGAGGGTCGCCATTTCCGAACGCGATGGTCTTGGTTGGGTCGTTTCGTTCGTCGCCAAAAGCTGTGTAACTCGGCACCATCCCGTTAAACCAAACCTTCCGATCCCTCGACTTGTCGTATTTGATTGCTGGCATTGGGCCGACTGTTGTTCTCGCCAACGATCCGTCATCAATCCACTCCAGCTTCATTCCCAGTTTTGCAGCCCTGTAAATGACAAATTTGGTGAAAGTCGTCATCATGTCTGAAAATTCAAGTGTTTTAGGCAGGATAGATAGAGGTGATGTGTGCCGACCTTTCATGAGCGACATGCTTGTCATTGGTAGAGAATATTGATTTCCATCCACGACCGATTGCTGAAGAAGGGTCGTCTTCTTCGGCCAATATTCTATTGGAAAGAAGCCCTTCTTCTTCCAGCTTGTCCACGAATTCAGGGTACTTCTCTTTCATCCTCTCGTACACCATGTGGCTCAGTACGATTGGCGTCTCCCCGCCACTCCTTGGCTCCACTTCGCAGAAGAACATCAGCTTAGTTGGAAATTCCGGCACCTGAAGTGAAACGAATTTAGTTTTGAGGCAAACACGTGGTGGCAAGCAAAAGTGGCGGGTCACTCAATCATTTTTCCAATAATTGGATTGTAGCAATAATATATCGGCCTTGTTTTAGTCAGTAACAGATTTCACAAGCATTCTATAGCATAATATTCAAAATAATGCAACCCATTAGAAAGTAATATTTGTACTTACATGGGCCATCTCGTGGTGGAAGGGGATCTTCTGATCCGGCGGCGACTCATTCGCGGTGAAGACACGGCCGACGACTTTAGTCCGGGAAGCTCCGCCGCCGACGTAAGGGTAATCGGGGAATCCGAACGCTTCCACCACTTGGTTGAACTGGGAAGCCGTGGAGAGAGGGAATCCCCTGAAAAGGATCGCCCCTGTTTCGTGAAGCAGAGACTCCAGGCGCGGCTTCTGAGATTCGATGGCTGAAATGAAGTCACTGAGAGAAGGCATCAACGTTGAATCTGGCGCCAGGACGGAAGGGAAAGGCGGGGAATTGGGGAGCCGTTTCTGATTTGGGATTTGGATTTCCTGGAAAAGGTTCGCCTTCGCCATTTTTGTTTTTGGTAGTTGTTTAGCTGTGGTCTCTCTGTTTTCTTGCTTCATCTGCTTTTATAAAGATAAGATGCATCAACTGGTCTACTCTTCCCTAGTGGGTGTCTCTGACTTTGAATGCTCTGTTTTTTTGTCTTAAAGAATGCAAATTCCCACGTGTTTGATTTGGATATATCTTGCCTACTACTACTTAGGTCACACAATTCGTCAACTTCACCCTCACGCTCCCGCTCTAGTCCGTCAAAACGCGGATTTTCTGGAATTCGTGAATAAATCGCGAATTATTTTCTGGGGGAGCGCGAACTTGGGTTTTGGGAGCGCGTTCTTTTCAGAAACTCAAGTTAGTCTTCTGCTCTCCTTTTCCAATCGGCACAAGACTGCAATTTCGGTGATGCAGAACCTTCTTCAAGTTAGTCCTCTTGGGATCTCTACCAGAACCTTCTTCGGTTAAAGCTCTTCTTCAAACTTGTCGTGATGGCCGATTGAATGACGGAATCATCACTGAGATAGCAGTGCATGCAAAAGGAAATGATATTATTATTGACGCTCTCATCACGCTCTGAAAATTCCATTCTCAAATAATCGACGCTTTCGCGCTCCCGCTCCCGCTCTCGCTCTCGCTCCCGCTCTGCGAACTGGTAAGCTAATGATAGACTGATAGTGGATCAGGATGGGTGATAGCTAGTGTCCTAGTGACGGGCAGTGGACGGGTTTGGCTTAACCCATATCATTTTTATTTTTGAATATCCAAATTCATGCATGTCATTTAACCATGAGCAGAAGGTTTTGTAATCTCATCTTCATACTCTTGATTTACGAGTACTCGTGGACAAATCTTGTCTCGTATATCTAACTTGTCTTGTAATAAATTCATTTAATGATTTAGTTGAAATAACATTAATCACAAAAGAGTTAGAGTAAGACATTTTCATAAGTTTTACGTAGTGATTTAATTATTATGGAAGGTTTAAATAATACATTTGTTTAATTGATACATAATAAATAATTATTCCCTCAACCTTCATAAGTTTATTAATAACTCTTATAAAATGATGTAGTGTAATCTTTCGTAATGTGTGGTCTAATAATGAATTCAAGTACTGATAGTTCTTATATCTGATTAAGCTATTCTATTAGATTAAATTATTTCTCCATAAGCTTTAATATGCATGATGCAAATTGATGATATATTGCATATAGATGGTACTAATAAATTAATTCATGTTATTAATAAGTGAATTAAGTTATAAATATATTATAGTTGATTAAAATATTATGTAACAACAAAATTTCCTTATAAAATCTTATATTAGGAAAGAATTAAGTAATATGTAGGTTAATTGATACATTTCCCTCAATAAAAGTTGATGTGTTGTCTAACTGTCTTAGTCGTTATAAAGACTTATATTGTATGTTTTCTTTAATTGATACATGATAAATAAATATTCCTTTGTAATATTTACATTTTTTATTAGTAATTTACATAATTTTTATAGAATGTTGTTCCGCAAATCTTTCATAATGTGGGATTGGATAGTAAAATCAATTTGGAAAAATATGATATTTGATTGAACTACAATGAAAAAATTAACTTACTTTATATAACTTTTGAGTAATACAAATTGATGAGATGGTGAAGATTGTAGTTAATTATAGATTTATATAGTGTATTTTTAATATGAAAATTTTTCTGCAATGTGAAATGAAGAAGTAACCAAATAGAGGTGTATATCGAGATAGTTGTCTAAAGGAAAAAAAACCTTATTATGATACAATTTAGTGTAGGCAATGGTAAACAAATAATTGCATAAACAACTACATATGAGGAAAAAAGAGTTATTGTGCAATTGGGTGTAGCGGATAAAAAAATCTGGTGAATAGTACCTTACAAAATAGAAAAATAAATTTAATTGTTAGAATAAATATATTTTTTAGCCAACCTTTCACGAATTCTAAAACATTAGTCAAACCTTTGAGAGTAGGAATTATTAGTCAAACCTTTCATAACACTACAAAATTATAGCCATTTTCCGTCAAATACATGGACTGACGATTAGCTTAAGTGTAATTATGTTAATGCTAACATTGAATCTTATGGTGAAACTTTTCCGTCATGTGTGACTTGGCACGGTTTTTTTTAAGTGAAATTGATTGTTAAAAACTTATAATTGGTTGTTTAAAAAAATTATAATGGATCATAGTTAATAAGATACAGTATGGGAAAGTTACGTATAAATTATGTACGGGTATTTTACTTTATCTTTAATTTAATGTTACGTTAAATAGTATGCTAATAATCATAAATATATAAATAATAGTAAAATAATGGACCTTACTACATTAGATACTAGCACAGGACTCGGCCCGTTGGCCGGAAGAATTTTGTCGAGAAATATGATATATAATAATGGATATATAATGGAGGATTTGAAAAGTACAAAATGATTGTTTTCTAACTTAGTTATGCACATAACATTTTTGAAAGTGATCCAACTATGCATAATGTGTTTAGACCTCCATGAAAAGAGAAATATATAATATAAGCATTAACTTATAATTATTGAATGAAAAAAGAAATAAATATAACTAATTCTCGTTCATTATTTAATTAAACCATATAGTTGAATATTAGAGTTGTTTCTCATAATACATACATAATCAACCTTTAAGATGAAAGAAAATGTCTCTCATAGAGTTTAGTATGTCCTTTAAGTTTTTCCCAATTGTGAGCATTCTTTTTTATCACACCATTGGTAATGAATCTGAAGTTGCTTGATTTGAAATATATAGTACATGATGCTAAATTGTCGCTAATAATTGGTTGGAAAATGTGTTGTGTATGGATTTCCAAAATTATTCTAAGATCGCAGACATGTCTTACAGCAATATAGTAATTTTCATGCAACAAATATTTTTTTCATGAAATAATTCAACAAATAAAAACCTATGAAAATCATATTACATGAAATATATAGTACTCATTAAGTTGATGAATGAGCAAGGGTATAAGTAACATACATTTATTTTAAAAATATAGAAGTTGTAAAGTGTCTTTTGGGTTGAATGAGATCACATATTCTCATTATCGCAACTGACTTGTGCTTTTTTGCAATAGATAGTTCAAAATGTGCCTTAAAACTTTTGTTTCTACTAGTATAAAAGAATTGTTTGAACCAAATGATTACAATAGTATCAAAAAATTTGGTTGCAGAGTATTTTATACTGAAATCATAATTTAACTGTGGTTCAACCGTTTCATATTGCTAAATATCACCTATCGATTTAGCCTATGGTGTGAAGTTTTATGATCGAACCACCAGCTTGTACGATCTTTCAATTCAAACTTTAAATAAAAAACCACTAAAATATTGACATGATCAAATATCCTTAAATCTCATAAATTACCATAATCGTATTAAAGAAAAAATCATCCAAATGATAATAATGATTTAGGATTTTATGGGGTCATTTGGAAGTTGCGATTGTTAAATATATATTTTGTTGTGAATGCATGTATAATATTA